GTATAAAGGAGAGCGCCCATAGTTCGATTTAAAACCTAAAAGTCTTACCTTACAAGGACATTGGGTAAAGATTTTCAGTATTTGTCTCTTGGGAAATAGCAGTTTAAAAATTGTCGTTGGGATTGTAAACGCGAGCGAGCGAAGCCTGTCTTTAGTAATAATTCCATCATGTTGTAGCCTGAAGAGCGATATTTCCCCTGAAATATGCTCGCTTAGATTTGCTTTTGAGAAATTTCGACGGATTCATGTATTAATGCATTCGATTCAGCCTGAATCAGCCAGGATGCAGCGAACAGACCAATTTAACGTGTTATGTATAAACTATATCCGAGTTCGAAGTCGAGAAGTTTCGAACTTTATTGTTTATCATGTTTATTGCGCAATCAAAAACAGGCCACCGTGTCGCACCGTGTCGCACCGTGGCTCACGTGGCAAAAGCTTGCCCTGTGATTGGTTTGCTACACTGCACCGTGTCCGAGCGTTACTATATTTAGTAACAATTGCGCAATAATCTGCACGCTGACCGTGTCAACTAGTTGCTGTGATCGCAGCTTCGAATGCACGACTAGCTTCCGAACATACTCGGCACAATTCGGGAAGCTTTCGGCGAATTTTATAGTTCAGTGTTAACTGAACAATCGTAATATGAAACAAGGAATAATAATTGGGAATTTGTTCCCACTTTTAGCAGGAATTGCTAATAATATGACAACGATTACGAAAGATATTACTCAAATTATTTGTTTTAGACATATATTTCCTTAATTTTGGTGTGATTCAAAGAATTAATATGTACTTCTAAATAATGTGTGAATATTAGATTGCAGATGGGAAATTCTGGATGCCGGGAAAATCTGACCGTGGCTCGAGCCACGTTCGATACGGTCTAGATCCGCGCCTGCATCATAGGGAACGCATATGCCATATTTTGCATACCGTAAATGATCGATTAAGCGCCGCGGCGCTTATTGCAAATATCGACGCGAAGTTGGGCTGGTGATTCCCGCTAAGTTCATAGCATTTACGGCGAATCGACGACTTGCCCAAGTGTTAAGCCGGTTTTCCATTAGCGATGTTTTTCGCGCGAAGCGACTTTATTCCTTTGTATTTGAGCAATTTGTTCCGGATGGTTGCAGTTGAGAGCTCTGGAACAAAAGTAAAATGTCGAAATTTTGTTTAACTATAATAACAAACTATAATAACAAGGAAAATTTTAAACTATCAGAACTGTCATATGAGCCCGTTTGTAAGAGATATTCAACAATAAAACTTTAGTTTTAATACTGGCCGTCGTTCTCAATAGTTTAAATGTTAAGATTAACGCGTTTAATAAAGAATCGTTTATTTCTACATTTTTTAGCGTTTATTTATATCTTCCTAAATAGTCGCCGCGGCGCTTATTCAACAGCGGCGCTTATTAAATTCTTTTTATTGAGGTGCGGCGCTTATTCGACAGCGGCGCTTATTCGAGTAGCGGCGCTTAATCGATCATTTACGGTATGCCATATAGGTTGGTAGAAAATGCGGGTGCGGATAGGCGGATTCTTGCGGATAATGGTAGAAAATGCGGGCAAATTCTTGGAGATAATGGTAGAAAATGCGGGTAAATTATTTATCATCAAACAATCGAAATTTAACTGTTATTTTACAGATATTTCGCACAAGAGGCATGTTTTCGACAAAAAACTGTCAACTCTTTATCTTTATTTACTAATTTAGTGACTGAATCAGCTATTTTAATTAAAGATATTTTTATGAAGCGTACCCGAAATTATCTGTCGTACTAACTTATATTATTATTATTATTAATTATCATTCTTCGAAGACGAACAAAACAATCGTATAACCTAACATTAGCATTGTTCACCATGCAAACCTAAGAAAAACTTAAATGAACAAGACGCCGTTCTGGCGTTAACTCCGGCGCACGTGCCAGTCTTTAATATAGAGCTTCTGAACATAAACAATACAGTTCGCGTATTGTTTCGCATACATATTCGCATTTAGATGCCTTGCGAACCTAAATGTTCGATCGCGAAATTCAGAAGCACATCGCAGTATAGAAGTTCAATTGTTCAAAAATGTAAATAAACCGCATGATAAATTCGCCTTTGGAATTCGCAGTTATTTAGTTATATTAAATCTTCGATCCTGTGCAAACTACGCAACGTGTCAACGCGCCCATACACGACCACATCATCTTGTTAAACGGCGAGATAGCAGCGATATTATCAAAATAGGACCGGAATCTACATGTATTAAATATATTCTTACCCCAATTCAATCTAAACTTAATCGAACAGCATGAAAAGAACGGTTTATTTGTTCCTCTTGGAGGAATTGCCGTATCATGCGAGCGAAATCGAATCGCGCATTGGAATATTAGCCAAAGCTGTGCACCACACCTCTTGGGAGATAAGACTGGAACGTAAATAAATACGGTCACATACACATTTTAAATACTAGTATATTTCCCGCCATTACACACTTGCGACGACGAAAAATAAAAAAAAACAAAAACAAAACAAAACCGGGGCGAATTTTCAACTCCGTCGCTGACGCCGGAGTAATTACATAGCTGCAAATATTGCAGATGTACCATATATAATAAATATTGCAGAGTTACCATAGTAGCCCAACCAGGCCCAACACTCGTGTTCCGCGCGCGTACACTCAACAATCATCATTAATATATCACATACATACATGTCAAACTTCGATAAAAACTGAAAAACTACCACAAAATACTGCAAAATTAATAAATATAAATGAACTTGGATATATTTTCTAAATTCCGACATAGTTTTTAGCTTCAAAATGTATTGGGAAATACGGAAATTTGTTTTTGAAAATATATTGTCGAAATTTTCTTGTCGATAGGCGGGATCAGTGAACTCTATACAACTGGAACGATAACTCCTGACAAACATCCCTATTTAGCTTGAAGCCAAAATAGTTTTTCTGAGTTTTGAGACGAAATACTTGACGCCAGACGTTGGGCTGTGTGTCAAATTAAAGCTATTGAAAAGTTACATTTGGTGTGGAAATTTCAAGCCTTAAACTGCAAAGGAAATATTTAAAAAAAACAAAAACAATTACAAATCGGCAAAAAAACGAGAAATTTTCAAATATTTTTTAATTTAGATATTTTCCAAACTCAAGTCTCGAAATTTCTACACGAAATAATACGGAAATATAACTTTTTAATCGCTTTAATTTCATATACGGCTCAACATTACTCATTAGGCGTTAAGTATTTCGGCTCAAAACTCAGAAAAAGTAAAAAGCACTGGCTTCAATTTTCCCCCCTGGTTTATCATTCCAGTTTGTTTACAGTTCAATGGGCGGGATCGATCAAATTTACCCCAGCACAGAATACCTAACAGAAGTGGAACTCTTTATTATTTTTTCGTAAGTGTGATTCGTGATGATTCGTCACTTAGCAAGTGCATTTTTTTGAGGCAGTCACCCCCCTGCTAATGTCTAAAATTAGCGCATTTTGAGTATTGGCAGGGGGGTGACTACCTCAAAAAAATGCACTTGCTAAGTGACGAATCATGACGAATCACACTTACGAAAAAAGTACAGGAGTTCCACTTCTGTTAGGTATTCTGTGCCCCAGTGATTTACCCATTTACCCTACATTACGTAACCTTCGGAGAAATCCCGAGTCAATCGCGGAGTTAATGTATGCTACACATGCAGAGCAATAACTATCCACTCTCTGCAACCCAAATGCGAGTTTACTGGTATCTGAAGCTATTGTTCATATTTTCCATCATGTGTTTTGAGACCTAGCAATTAAAACGTTTTACATTTGAGATTTTTATTTCATCACCAGGTTTATAAATCACTAAAATCAGTATATTTCAATATGTTTACGATAGTGTTTGGGTGTGTATGTAATGCCACTTACAACAGTTTCTCATAACTTTCTCATAACTTTAAACATCTGCAATATTTGCAGCTATGTAATTTATTTAAGTTTTTCTTAGGTTTGCATGGTGAACAATGCTAATGTTAGGTTATACGATTGTTTTGTTCGTCTTCGAATAATGGATTAATAATAATATAAGTTAGTACAACAGATAATTTCGGGTACGCTTCATAAAAAATATCTTTGAATAGCTGATTCAGTTACTAAATTAGTAAATAAAGATAAAGAGTTGACAGTTTCTTATCAAAACATGCCTCTTGTGCGAAATATCTGTAAAATAACAGTTAAATTTTAATTGTTTGATGATAAAATAATTTATCCGCATTTTCTACCATTATCCACAATAATCTATCCGCATCCGCCTATCTGCACCCACATTTTCTACCATACCATTTTTGACACTATTAAATCTTCTTACTGTAAAATTATATTGCATTGGTACAAAGCAAAATACTCAATCACCTTACCAAAAAAATGTTCCACAATGCTTGAAAAATTTACCAATATTTACCTGCAATTGATAAATATCCAGTGAAGACTGCTGAAGATTGCAATTCTACACTCCATCAACCTTTCCTTGAATATTTGTCGTAACTTTATTCCTGCAAAGTGGAACCACGACAATCCCTCAATAATTTTTGTTTGAATTGACCACCCTTGTCTGTCATTTTGAAACACATATTTTCGGTCACAACAATAGAAGAGTTGCGAGAAACATAGAACAAACATTTTTCTCATGTTTATTTGTGTAATTCATCCACAATTTCATCGAAGTCTAAACAAAATTAAGTAAAAACTCCACTCATGTTTATAACGGCCATGTTGGGTAATTATTTGAAATTTTGAATTTGCCCGCGTTTTTCGCCGGACGGAGTCTGGGACTAGGCTTTTTTAAGGTTTTGTTTGTTTACCATTTTAGTTAATATGATGTGTTTATAGTACATCAATTTGTTTACAAGATGTCTGCAAAACTCGATCAAGTCGAAGAGGTTGATATAGAGAGCGGTGGTCGATTTAAATACATTCTAGTGAAGCTAAAAGATGGCAATGATGAGAAATATATTGTTCGGGTTACAGAAGGGCAGCATACCATGGTATGGGGGGGGGGGGAGAGGGTAATGTAGTGTCAACCTTCAAAGACATCTAATTCTATCTAGATTTTCAGTGGCAACTGTCCTATTTTAGGTCTGTTCGCAAGATCCAATTTTGTTCGATCCAATTAAGTGGATTCACTTCTGACATATGAGATGGAGTGTGTTATTGATTTAAGAAGTACTGCATTGGCTTAAGTTGACTGGCTGAGCATGTACATTGCAAGTTAACAGACTATAAAACATCAATCAGGGGCCAGTTGTATAAACTCTTAACTACATTTTGCACAGTTAACCCAGAAATTCTGGACTCTGATTGACCAATTCAGTCACTATCTCACCCCTGAAGTGAATATAATCCAAGAAAATTGGATCATGTGAACAGATCTTTATTGTTGAGAAATTTGTTCATAGGGGAATGGTTAACAAGAAAAACATTTACATACTTTACAGTCACACAGACCTCTCCTTCAGAAAAAAATTGCTCTATGTAACTGCAGAGGAATAAACAGTACTTACAGTAGAACCACTTGGCATAAAATGCCCAAATTTTTATGCAATTGGCCTACCAGAGGCAGTTCAGAATGCTTATTAGCTGAAAAGTCAAATAACATGATATTGACAAGCCAAGAATAATGGCAGGCGATGATGATCTTTTGTCAATGTTAGGAGGATCCTTTAAAGTTTATATTCACCATGCATATTGCATCATTAGACATCATTATTATTGCAAAAAAATCAAGGCATGTTGTAAGCTGAAGGCACTACAGTACTGTTGACAATGACACACTTTACTGAGCCATGGTATGGTGTGTGTATATTCTTCAAAATTTTTAGGGTGTATTTATATTCTTTAGCTGATATTTATGATGAAATATTACCAGAGTTGAAAAGGCTTAGCTTACATTCTGAGTGTGTTGGCGGTGGCCGTATTGAACACAGCAGTGAATCTGAAAAATTATTTGTATATGGCTATTCAATGGTGAGCAGATCATGAAAAAATGCTTAATTAGCAGTACACTAAGAAAACTATTTCACAAACGTTTGGAATTAACATTAAAAATCAAATTGTATAAACAAGTTAGTATTTACATACCTACCTTCACTAATTCAATCAGTTTCATAACTGTGGTTTCATACATATCATAATTATTCATCATTGTAAAGACAAATGGAAACAGAAATATTGTCCACTGCAATTCACCAGCCTGCTAATAAAACTAGTTTCCAACAATTGTCACAATTGAGCAGAAAACAGTTTTACTTGTGTCTTGTTTATAAGATCATTTGTTTCTGTCAGTTTTCAACCAAGAGTCATTTCATTGATGTGAATACAATGATTGAAATACAAGAGTGTAGTAGTACTAAACAGGGATATATAACCTTTTTCTCAACTTCAAAAGGACTGAAGTATTTCAAAGTACCTATTTCATTAAAAATGAAAGCAATTTCAAATCTGTGTCGCCAAATTTGTGGCAATAGAGTAGGTTTGCAGTTTTGCACAAGTAGCTTATGAAATCTTTCATCATTGCTCATCACATTTCAACAAATGGGCCACAGCTTATATGGTATAAACCTACCCTAGACTACCTTCACTTTTATTCCAGTCTGGCTAATCCTTGCATTATTCTCTTATTCCCACTTCTTTAGGGTTTTGGACAAGCTGATCATTCAATTACAACAGGAATACTTAAGAAGTTTTTCCCATCATATAAATCTATAACATTTTCCAATGAAGGATACTAGTTGTAAAGCAACATTTATATATATCTTGTTACAAAATATGAAATAATTATTTGAAATTGTGTAGAATCATATTCACAACAAGTTGCATTATTTCATATTGCCTATAAAACACAACATGAACAACACTTGACACATTCTACCAAACAACAGACTCAGTGCTCAAAATACTGTGGACATTTTAGTCATACAGTGGTACTTTGTATAAATAGTACTGTTAGGTATACTTAGGTGTCTGGCTTAGCTTGTTTTACAGGTGGTTCATCATTTGAATGGCCATCATGTCTACCTCGTTTGCCATGTTTCCAGTGTTGTTGTCTCTTTCCTCCTGTTATACAGAACAAAACATTTTTAAGCAACTTTTTGTAAAACAAAAGGGATTAGTAATAGTCACCAAAGAGATTAGTCCTAGTACTAGTCCATGTTTTGAACAAAAAGAACCCATGCCAGATGACCACTATGCCAACTGAAGTACTTTATACTATCTAAACAACTAAATTTTTGTATTTCCAGGCAGAAGAGTATAGTTCTGTGCATATGTAAAAAGTATGCCTACATATTGTATCTATGCACCCTTAAAATCACCTCATTATTGAAACATACAGCACTAATAGTATATATATCATACCAGAGAATATAATTAATATTACTTATTACGAACAAACCTCTCTTATTTCTCTGACGATGTTTGTCAAACTCCTCTTTCGACTTCTTCCAGTAACCCTTCTCCTCATCTCCTGTTTTAATTTATATAATATATTTAGTTTTAATGGCAAAATAACAATTAAAGCTTTAATTAGTAAGTGTCCACAAGTACCTTCGATCACACGTAGAGTTGTTTCTACACCACGTAAGTTTACTTTATTTTCATTTTTCTCAAGTACAGCTTTCAATGCCTTTTCGGCATCACCATCATTCTCATAGCGAATGAACCCCTGAAAATATGAGTAACATTGAATTGTTATTTGAAGGACATTGCAAACTATGCAAACTCTATGAAAATGTTGCTAAAAGTGTTGTGAATAATGGAAGAGAAAAAAGAGAATAGTCTTAATAAATAAAAAATTGGTGGTCTAAAATCAAGTGCTATTCATCTTTGCCACAACCATTACACACAAAATTTTAATGGTATTAAAACCTACCTCTTTATCACCAATGCTGAAATCAACCCATCTAACTTTGAAAGTTTCAAGGGAGAAAGTTTCCTGGTTAGAAAAACACATATGCGTTTACCTTTACCTTTTGAGTATCTTCTTTATCTATGCTTTTTTACTCTAATACTCATTCTCCACTTTTACATAATAATTAGATCATTATGTAAAAGTCTGAGTCTGTTAATTCGGCCACACTCTCATCACAGGAGCTATCAGAATGGTTGGATTCCTTATTCAATTCAACATCCTCTGAATTTTGGTCAGCCATCTTCTTCCCTCGTTATCTCGTCGTGCCTTTGCGTGGGACACACGAACCAACCAACACAAAAGTTCTCGCCTCTAGAATTCCCTTTTCATGGGGGGGATCTCTCGTCTAGAATTGATTCTTTGTAAGGAAGAAGATGTTAGGGCACTGAACATTATTAGACGGAAAATGAAGGCAGGCTTGATTTTTAATGTCAACGTTCCCACTTAGTTGAGCACAATAACAAAACAATATAATATTCAGCGACAAAGATCGGTCTAGTACGCCTGGCTTTACAAGAATAATTTAGAAAGATAAACCCAAATAAAATGACAGAGTATATTCTTGTTTCTTTTACATTCGTATTCCATAAAGTACATTTTAAATAAATAATTACTGTAATATCAATCAGGGGCGTAACTATGGGGTGTGGGACATACTTTCAATGTTGTATTTTTTATAGTTTGTAGTACAAACATGAAAAATGCTGGAAAAGCACATTAACTCCACTATTTTAGAGCCACTGTTTCATGTATTTGTTTTCAAAGATAAAAATATTTTTAGGTGGTCCCAGGTGCACATACTTAACATACTTTGCAAAAAACCTTGGCAAAAAAATACCCTCAACCCCACCCAAGCTACGCCCCATCTCTGTGCGCTATTGCCTATTTACCTATGGTAAAATTTAATTTAATTAATTATTAATTTAACGGCTTTAATTCTCCATATTTAACCGCTAAAACATGCAGTTACGTTGTATTATACAATAAAATATTTGCTTGCCAGAAGCATTACAATTATGATTTAATTTATGTAGATTATTTACATGTTTGTGATGAGTGGGTGCGACCTGCGTATATCAATAAGGAGGTACTAGTGAGATGGATGTAAGTCATGTGCGTAAGTATGACCAAAAAAGATAAAATCATGACTTTTTTGTTTAGTACCCACTGTCAGTGTTGTTCTTTAAATTGGTTGATCTTGGATCAACTTGAGCTTATTCAGAGTTCAAAATAATCTACAACAGATATTTGTGAACTTCAATTTAAAAAACAGTGTTTCCATTCGCTTAGCAAGAACATATTATATTAAAATTCTAATACAAAGAAGACTTTACCTGTGTTCAAAAACCACACTTGGTGATTATTGAAACGATTCTTCCTCTTCAGAAAATCAAGGAGAAATTGACAGGCTCGTTGTACCTGCAAGCAAAACATTTGCTGAAGCCAATTTTAACGAAATAATTTGGGAAGACCCGAGAGTGGATTTGAGGGTTAAGGGGATTCCAGCTTCTTACAAGCGTCCCCCGGGCGACCATCTCCGTCACCCCTTTGCGCAAAGTCAACAAAATTGAGAGATTTTATTCTTCTTTGTAACTCTCTCTTGTATAATTTAGTTGAGTATTATAATTAACATGAGCCTTGCGACCAAGCGCAACTGAGACCAATACAATAATGGATATTTAAATTAGTATGTATTGTACGAGCTAGGAAGTCAACGATTGTACCTGCTTGAATGTTTCCTCTTCTCTTTCTTGTATCTCAATACTGGCCCCCGCATGGCGATCTGGAAAAAAAAGTTCAGTTCAGTGGAGCGCAAGGTGAAGGGTGAATTCAGATCAAAGAGGGCAGACGTGTCCGAATTTTGGGGAATTATGTCAAATTAACATAATTATATTATAATTGTATTTGGGAGAATCTTTCAGGCTTTTACAAGTAAGCAGTACCATCTCTTTTTTAGAATTTTTTGAACCAAACATACATTCTAATATGCATTACAGCATGCACCATATCCAAAGCAGGGCGAATGGCTTGCATCACTCTCCCCTCTACATAGCCACAGTCTTTCAATCCCTGGTGCAAGAGTGCATACCGTATTTACTCGATTGAGCGCCGCATTTGCGATAAATTTTTCTTAGGAGTGACGCACTGTCAGAATTGTTGAAGACGCTATTGCTAAATCGGTCTTTAGAATTTTCGTAAGGCGCAGGTCAGTCGTGAAGGCAGAGATTCCAGTGATTTGTGCGAGGAGCTTTGTTTTCTGTAAAATGTCCAAATGCTCGCTGTAAAAATGGGGACAATTGGCTACGTCTAACTTTCAATTCTTTTTATTTAAAGTTCTTGTTACAACCACAAATAATATTTTTTAAAGAGCGCCGCCCTTGATTAAGCGCCGCATCTGAAGTTCTAACGAGTAAATAAGGTCTCAAACGAGTAAATACGGTATAGGAATAACAGCTCGAAATTTTAGCACCATGATAAGTACTAAGTAGCTGACTTCACTCTGCAGAAGGCCCGAACGATTAACACGAGTAATCATTGATATGGACCTACCTGGGTGATGCAGTCGCGCCTCCCTACGAAAAGCTTCCTTCACGTCCAAGACTGAACAATCTCGAGTCAGCGATAGGGTAAAGAGGGCAAAATCGAGGTTACACTCCGCATTGTATGCTTCTTCAGATAATCGATAACACTCTGTTCAATATATAATGTAATTCATATAATGTAAACTTCATTTATATACGAAAGGGCTTCTTGCTCTAAGATTATCTGCTTAAAGTGGTCCAGTAATCGGATCCTTTCTTGGTCCAGTATAACCATAGACAATCCAGAAGGCAATTCTGTCTTCTGGATTGTCTATGGTATAACTAATCGAGCTCAAAGGCTGCGTTCAAATTAGACCGGACAGATTTGGGACCGTGTTTGAACTCGTCTGTCTACGTGTTCACACCAGAAAACTTGATAAAAAAAATTTTCACGGAATGGATAAAAATCTCTGGTTTCTAAACTGAGTATCGGAAAAAAGACGTATCTGAAACAATATCTGGCAAGATATTTTAAAACTAGCATCTGACAAACTATCAATGCTACATCCCAAAGAGACTTTCAATTGCTCGAAAACATTCAGTTATCGGAGGCAGAATACCTGGTATGCCAGTCATTGCGTAGATTTCATAATATGCTTCACTGGCTGTCTCATATTGTCCAATTACGAGGTAACTATATAGATTATAGTATAAATTATAAACAATCAAATATGGGATCAGAAGACGATACTTAATCCAAGGTCTCCATGAGACGACTCACAGATGCACGAATAGCCAATTAATTGTTGGCTAGCAGATAACCAGATAAACAAGCTTTTATACTCCTACGGAGTAAGGAAGTAATATTTCCAATTCGCTAGTTACTGTATATTCGAAAAAAAACTATTAAAAAAGAAATCACATTTACACTTAAGGGGGGAGGAGAACGTTTAATTACTATCCATACCACTTCGCCCTGAGAAGGTGTGCTTTCAGATGGCTCCCATTCAGCTCAATGGCTCCTGTGAAATCCATAATGGCTTGTGGAACCATCTTTAACTGTACAGAAATAGATAAAAAAAAATCAATTTCCATGTTTCAATTTTCGAACCTAACAATGATGTATACTACAACAGGGCTACCAGTATATTTCGCCAAAATTTATTTCGTCATTACCATGCACATAATGAGCCCCCTTTTGTATAGATTTGCACAAACGGCCTGGTTCATGGGGTCAACATCCAACGCCTCAGAATACAAACGATGCGCTAGTAGTGGCATCCCATTCTCAAAAGCTCTACGGGCACAATCCAGTAACCATTTCAGAGTCATAAGCCTCTGTTCAAAGTAAAATAAATAACATAATGAAACAAACTCAATAGGAAAAGTATTACATACTAGTTTCTATAACAATTCTAGGGTATACGGGGTGTCCTAAAAAAGTCCCCTCTATTGAAATCAAGCCTTTGTTAGAATCTGATTGCCTTAATATTATGATAAACCCAATTGAAAGCAGCATTTTTTGAATGCCTCAACCTCATACCTATGCTATTTTTACAGATGATAGATAGATAGATTTAATTAAGATAACACATAGCAGCCTATAAGACTGAATTGCGTGCTATTGCGTGTTACTATACTGCGTTGATCATGCATTCAAATTCCAACGAAAGGTTCATTTCAATACGGGGGGCTTTTTTCATGTTATGACCTAGTACTGTGAGAGGTCATCAGCTCAATACTTTCACAAAAGATGACGAATATGTGAGTATCCACCCACCAAGTAATCTTCTAGCTATTTGGCCAAATTTATTTATTGTGTGGCGGTGCATGGTAGAAAAAACTGCTTGGTCTAATTTCTGTGGTAGTTTGATCCCAGAACTTACCGGTGCAATAGCTCTACTGCCCTCGTGATTGGGATTATATCGCAGAACATTTACAACGATGGCAATGAAGGCTGCTTGGACACGTCCCTAAGTAAAATAGCATTTTTAATTAATTAAACTGGGGAGTTTTAACATATTCAGTTTAACCAATTTCGGCCTTATTGTCTCGCAAGGTATGCTAATATACTTTGGGCATGCTGGGGTAAAACCATGCACTGAGCTATGTAGCTACAATAGGGATCTCTACAGCTCAGTGAGTGCAGCCTATTACGCACCTTATTTACACCTCATTTACACCTCATTTACACATATTACACACCTTATTTACACACTAGAAAAGTTTTTCGCGGACCGCATTTGTAGGTGGAATTTTTTAAAATTTTATTAGGAAATATTTCTGTTCTGAAGAAAGAAACACGAAGTCATTCAAACTTTTTTTCACTGAAAAAAAATCGTTCCGATGTAACTTTTCCGGTGTGTAAATGCAGCTTTACAGAGCGTCTGTCAGGTGTAAAGCCAGGATAAAAGTTAAAAGGTTAGACGTCTATTTTATGATACAATGTCAAATTTGCAACGAAAACCATGTCAACGAGTTGCATCAATCTTGATGGTTCAACCAGGCTCAATAACATTGTTAATCATACTGTTCGTGCATGGGATATTATTACACAACATTGTTCACTCTTGATGCGACAACCTGATCAATTTTTGCTGTATACACGGCCAAACGGGTTTCCAAATTCGGCGCAAGTTACAATACCAAATATATTAATGGTATAACACTAATAATCTAGGAACTATAGGTTGGAGGACGGTCGGCGTTAGATCATATCGAACTAACGTACATGACGTCATAAAATTTTCAATAACCCTAACCCTAACCGTAATTAAGGTAAAGCCAGAGATACTATTACATAAGTATATGATCACTCCTATACTGGGTATGAGGGTAACAGACATTTACACTTTCGTGTACATTTATAAATGTATAAATGTATCATCATCGCCATTTTTATTTTATCATTTTTATGAACCAGCTCTAGTTGGAGGACGTACATTTTAATGTTTGGCCTCAAAAATTGCATAAGTGTCCGGCTCCCAGGAAATAATGACATATAATTAAAACAAGAAGTTATTTGCTTTTTTTTTGTGAAAATTCAATATTAGCCATTTTTCATGTCGATTTTTTTCTTCATTTTATGATCGTTGAATGCTTTCCTCGTTGAGAGAGCATTGCCATTAGAAAGCAATTTAAAACAACTTTTACCTGATAATACAAGACCAATCCCCGAACACACCATTCATGATTAGAACGTCTTTGATTCATATCCATTTTTTAGCTGAAAGATATTGCAGACGTACGTATTCAGAAGGAAATTTGAACTTGTTTTAACTTATTTAGTGATATTTTCATCAAAACTGCAGAAATGCATGCACAAATGCGAACCAGCGATGAGTTTTTCGACTGTTAAAATATCATAAACACCATGCATTTCTGATGGTTTCGCTTGACAGGGGCAACAACGCGCTTCCATGTTATCTGCCCGTCATATAAAAAATATCCTAAGCGATGTTATATAATAACGTTGTTTTGATCTCAGGGAAACTCCTATATATTGTATTAGGTGAATGGTTAACTCTAATATATACGGGTTTTCCCTGAGATCAAAACAAACGTGGAAAATAAAAAGTATCGCTTTGGGGTTGTTATCGACAAAGTTTTTGGTTCTCATGAGTTGTCGCCGCTGCATGTTTATCCAAAGGCTTTTATTCTATAATATTGCAGTATGAATATAAATCTCTAATGGCCATCTTTTAGAATTTTATATATGAAGTCAAAACAGCGACGAAATCTGCGAAACAACCCGAGTGATGTTCAGCTTACTTGACATATTTCTGGCGTTTGAGAACTTGAGCCGTTTTCAATCATTTAGCGATGCTGTTTGCGCCGTGTAGTACAAGTAGCAAATATATTTTTGCGTAAAGCACACGAATAATGGCTAACAATAATAATATGGGGTTATGGTTTAACAGTATGAATTGTTTTAAACACGGTTGGTGGTGTCCAAAAAGTCCGGTTTGTATACCGTTACTGCATGATGTCGGACCGTGACAGAATTCTGACGGCTTGTACTCTCAGGAGTTGTACTCACTGGATACGAATCCTAAACCTCAAATCATTGTGCTGTAAGAGTATGAATGTAAATCTCAAATGGCTATCTTTTAGAATTTCATTTAAAATCAAATCAGCAAAAAATCTCGGCGATAAAAAGCGTACTTAACATGCAATGGCTGTTCGTCAATTTGAGCTGCCTGTCATGGTTTCGCAAGCTAGAAGGGTTAGAAGTATAAGGATATTCTCATAAGCTTTCTTTCGAATGGCCATCTTTTAGTTTTTACAAAAACTCGTCGTAAAGTTAGTAAATCGAACTTTTAAAAAGCCTGGTGGTCGCCCATGTCGCTGACCAGTCAACTTTGCGCAAAAAACAGCCAACTTTACGCAAAAATACCCAACTTTACGGAGCTATGCGAGCAAACTAAATGAAATAAAACTTTAATTTACAGCTATGTTCTTGATAATATAACAAAGAAAAATGTCCTTTTTAAATTTTTCGATTTCCATTAAAAGCGAAGCGGCCACAGCTCCGGGTTTGCTCGAATGTCTAATGTGGTCTTCTCTTATACGTATACCACAACTGTATCGACCTGCCATCTCTACGTCGCTGCTGTGTGTGTGCATAACATGATTCGATAAATGTACTATTCGAGTTACATGTAACACTTGTTAGGTTTCAACAAATTGTTATATTACTACATTACATTTTAAATGTATTATATTGCAGTAATTTAAGTATTGCAGCGTCGGCATGTGAAAACGAGCTTGAAATATCTCCAGGAGAAACTAGTCACCCAACACACCCGGGTTAATTTGTCTAAAATATGATATTACAAACGAAAAGCTCATTTTCCCGAGAGGTAAAATCATGCTTCTTGATAAACTTTTGCTCCGCACGTACCTCTCATTTATACATTGTAGTTTATACACACTTACTATTATTATCGCGAATTTCCCGTTTTTTCAATTGAATTACTAGTTGCAGTGATCACATTCAGTCATTCACATCGTCAACGTTATCAACTTATAAATTGCCTGCCTTTTAGTCCCAGACTTTTGACCTCTCGATTAGCACCGACCAATCAGACTCTCGATAAAGGCAACTTGGGGCAATTGATTGGCCAGTCGCCTTGCGTTCTTCAATGACGTTATGAAAAACATTTGACAACAATTTTGACAACACAATATCAAAACGGGGGACTTATTGCTGCCACTGATCTCAAATAAGACTGGATAAGGCATCTATAGAAGGCAAAAGTGAAGCCGGAAGTGATCGGCCGCCACCCGATTCAAAGGCCCCACTTTCGTATCATTTAATATAGATTTCTATTACAGAACCGGAGTTTTTTGCGTTTTTTGCCTTGTCCACGTTTCTGCCCGGGCCAATTTTACAATCACAAACATAGAAGCATATGACAAGAAATTTGAGCAAAAAATTGGAATATTTTGGCTTCATAACGCCGCGAAAACGGATTTTACAACTTCGCGTCTTGGACATCGTTTTATATCAACACCACTCAAAGCGAGCTCGATTTGATATTTTGATACAAAATCAACTCAAAATATAGAATTTCTGTTCTTGGACAAATATTCTCAGAAAATCTGAAGAAACGAAGCGGCTATATTGCGAACAGCAGTGTACCGAGAGGTTAGTTTTCAAAACACTGAGGATACTAGCTTCTACTATAATAGTATTATTGATGGTTAAAAGAGAACAATTCAGTTCTTTCCTATGTTTCCACAGGCATCTAAGATGATATAGCCTGGTTCCTTAAAAAATAGCCAAATTTACCAATGGCATTCATAGAAAAGAACTGAATTGTTCTCTCTAACCATCAATAATAATTATAGTAGAAGCTAGTGTTTTGAAAACTAACCTCTCGGTACACTGCTGTTCGCAATATAGCCGCTTCGTTTCTTCAGATTTTCTGAGAATATTTGTCCAAGAACAGAAATTCTATATTTTAAGTTGATTTTGTATCAAAATATCAAATCGAGCTCGCTTTGAGTGGTGTTGATATAAAACGATGTCCAAGACGCGAAGTTGTAAAATCCGTTTTCGCGGCGTTATGAAGCCAAAATATTCCAAATTTTTTG